TATAATTTATAAATTATACCTTTACCTTTAAACTTTAACTGTTAGAAACAAAACTAATCTTCAACCCTGGCATTATTCTAATAAACATTAGTTTGAAATATGGAACTTTCTTAAGATCTTAAGCCATTTGCGTGTATTATTTTAAATAGACAGCTAACAAGCATTATAGTAACATGGTGATATGGTGATAGTATTGTAATGCGTTTTACAATTTACGTTTTATTATTATGAAATATACCATAGTGGGTAATTCAGTAATTAGTCGTTGACAGCACCCTGGACTTCATTCGAGAACTTAATTTTTAAAATGCATTATGGGTACTATTCACAAGTCCATAATCTCATTGGTGAAAAAAGGGTACTTTATGTGGTAAGATATTACAGTATTTTAAGGATACGATATGTATATATAATTATAAGGTCAGTTCAGTAAGCATAATTAATCAATTATAAATAATTAGAACTTCGAATATAACGATAGCCTACTTTTGCGCAACTACCTTATTAGTAACGGAAAAACTTGTAAATTGATTCACTTTCACATCATCGGATTCGGCTCCTGAAGAATCTGATTCTATTAATTCTAGAATTTCTTTTTGTTTCTGTTTTTAAAAAGTCGCCAAATCATATAATTTCTTCATTTTCCATTTGATGACCAAAGTACATCTTATCGAAGTGATTAGAATGGTCAACTTTATGCGTATTTGGTCACATTTAATCAAAATTTACAGGGCTGAGTCCAATAAGATAAATGATTATCAATTTACAGGCTTCCTTTCTGTCATTCTTTTGAAAATAGCTAATGGCATACAAAGTCCTTAAATTGAATTGATCAAAAAAATTAACTAATCAAATTTAAGAATTTTGCTAATTGGCACCTAAAAAATTTTGTGGGCCAATCAAATTTTTGAATCGAAAACATAATAGTCTTAAACTACCATCCGTGCACTAATCAAAGTTTTCATTGTAGTATTGCTGTATTATCATATCCTTAGAACTTTAATTTAATAGCGAAAACGTAACCATAACACAATCACAATGTCGAAGCTTTTCTAGTGAATTTTTTAGGTTGGCAATGAAATGGTCAAATTATGAAATTTACAATGTAAGTTGCATTGTAAGCTGTTTTGTCAGCTAACACAACGATCTCTGAGTTATTAATTTTAAATTTATAAAAGAATAACTACATATGTTAACAAAAATAAAAAAATTCAAATAAAATAATAAATTTATTACTTTTTTACTCTAAAATATCGATGGTATCGACGGGTTTACTCATTAGAGACGAGTTTTTGTTGGTGTTAATTATTTGTGACGTATTATCACTTTCTAAAAATTGCTTTTTAATATCATTGTCTTCATTCGAACTTAACATTTCTTCATTCCAAAATCCAACTTGATGATTAACAGATTTTGCAGTAGGTCGGTTTTTAGGATTTGGATCCATGCATCTTTTAGCTAATCTAACATAACATTCAGGTGTCCCAGGAATAAATTCTAAACCTTCAAAAGCTTGTTTTCCAGTTGATATTTCTGTCATAATAACGCCAAGACTATAAACATCAGCCGCTGGTGTAAACATTTTATGATCCAACAAAACTTCAGGAGCGATGTAGTGTTCAACACCGAATTTTTTACTTGTTTTAGAAAGGCCTAAATCAGAGATATATGCGCTACATAAATTATCTTGTAAAATATTACCACTATGCAAATCTCGATGTTCGAGTCCTTGGGTATGGATAGCTATAAGATCGGAAGTTATGCAATATAACAATTTCAATTTATCTTTCCATCTCATTTTTGCTATAGAACTAAGATTTTTATTTAAAGAACCCATCCTTGCATATTTCAAAACAAGGATATATTTTCCAGTTTCATCTCTTGATATACCATAACATTTTAAAAATGAAGGATTCTCGTATCTGATTTCACAATACGCTTTCAGCTTTAAGAGAGTATATATTTAATATAATATATATAATAAAATATAATAATAAAAATGAAATAAATACCTCGTCTAAATAATTTTGATCATGAATTTTTTTAAGTGCGAGTGTAACATATTCATTATATTCTTTAGCTTTCATTATATAATCCGCACTATAAACAGTTGCAAAATAACCCTTTCCGATTTCTTTGATATTTTTAAATTCATTATAAGGAAACCATGTTAATTGATATCTATTATCATCTAATAATTGTTTCACAATACCATTAATGTCAAATTTTTCATGTGTTGATTTAATTGTTTCATAAGAATTGTTTTTTTCAATTTGAAACCAATGATTTGCCTTTTGTATATCTATTTGTGTTCCGAGTCCGTTCCGATAACAATATGCAAGTCGACTCATTGCACCATTATCTCCCATTTCTGCAAGTTTTTTATAATATTCGAACGCCTTATGTTCATTCTTTTCAATTCCAATCCCTCTTTCATAACAATGTCCAACATTAAACATTCCACCAGTATTTCCCATATCTGCAGATTGTTGATAATAAATGAATGCCTTATGTTCATCCTTTTCAACTCCAATTCCATCTCTGTAACAGTTGCCAAGTGCAAATATTCCACTAGCATTTCCCATCTCTGCAGATTTTTGATAATAAACGAATGCCTTATGTTCATCCTTTTCAACTTCAATTCCATTACGATAACAACTTCCAACATTATATGTTCCATCAGCATACCCCATCTCTATAGATTTTTGATAATAAACGAATGCCTTATGTTCATCCTTTTCAACTCCAATTCCATTACGATAACAAACTCCAACGTTAAATATTCCATTAACATGACCCATTTTAGCAGATTTTTGATAATAAATAAATGCCTTATGTTCATCCTTTTCGACACCAATTCCATTACGATAACAAACTCCAACGTTAAATATTCCATTAACATGACCCATTTTAGCAGATTTTTGATAATAAATAAATGCCTTATGTTCATCCTTTTCGACACCAATTCCATGTTGATAGTTATATCCTATACTATTTAATTTATAACTTTCTTGACTATTTGATTTAGAACTTTTTTGACCCATTTTTTTTTCAAGACGTGAGAAAAGATAAACAGAACCTATGCGTTTCATATGTACGTACAATATATTTTAAATTCATGTTACATCATTAAACTAATTTAAACATCGTGTAACTAATATTATCACTTAAAGCACTTCCCCTTATGGTTTATAGAAGGATCTTATTTGCTAAAAAAATAATCTTTTTTTTTTTAACTGAAATTTAATTGTTACAAAGTTAAAAATCACATCGAAATGATTGAGAAAAATCATGATTAGCAAATCACATTGAAAGAGCTGTTGAACTAATTTATCCGGTTTAACATTCCCGATAAAAAACAATTACCCTTGGTCATTATTTTTATTTAATGTTATATAGAGTGATAATATGTCAGTTTAAAATTTTGTACTGAATATTAAAAATACGGTAAATTCAAATCGGTATTAATTTTCGGTATTAATGTTAGATGTCTCGTGCTAATATGAAGTAAGTATACATTATTCTGACTTGCTAATTTACTTTTTAACTATGATGTTGCACGCTACACTGTGATTACTACTATGATTTTTACAACGGAAAATGTCATTTCTTTATTACTATATTGTTATATTGTAGTATTGATAATGATAACCGTCACTTCTGTTTTTTGATTAGATGCAACTTCAATTTGCATCACTTTGGTTTTTATCAATGCTCGTAAAAAATTGACGTACCGGAGTTTAAATTTTATACCGATTAAAATATAGCGTACGTCAGATCTTAATGCAAATTTATACAGTATTTTAAATATAAAATTTTTTTTAAAAAAAAAAAAATTTTTTTGATATTTTCTTTACAAAATGACTTCGAATACTTCATCAATTTTTCGTTTTTTCACTTCAACCTTTGAACAAATTGTTGACAACTATATGAATAAACGAAAAGTAAAAGACGTAATGGATCGTTTAAATGTGATCATTATCCGAAGAATTATGGTAAATGTCTAATTAGATAAAAATAACTGCGACACTTAAATTCATATTATTGAAAATCTTTACATCGTTATTCGTCAAGCAAAATAATAATAAAAAAAAAACTTTAAAGAATAAAAAGCAGTTTTCTATCATACAGTAGAAACAATACCTTTTGTACTTTCCGTTTGTGTTTGTGTTCGCTAAAATTGGGCTAAATATTATATTCTAAAAATTTCCTGTACTAGCTTAATGTTTATTATTTATTAACCAATCTAAAAAAATTTTTTTTTAATTCAATAATTTATTATCGGTAGAGTTATTAATGGAAATCTGAAAGTGACATCTAACATATGCACTGGATGATTGCTGTAGGTATCAATTTTAATTTGACTCAAATTAATCTTATCGTTTAACCCGAATCGGTAATTTTTAACCTTATCGTTATGATTCGACTCAACTCAGTTTAAATCCAAAATTTGACGCATAACATACTTATATATTAGCTTTTATAACAGGTTCTAATACAATAATATATATTGTACAATATTGATGTCGCTTACTAGGATTCTATTCTAATCAGGGTTATGTATATAAAATGCTCGATCTGATGCGTTTAAAACTGATTATTTTAATTTAGTTTCTTAAATATTTAAAAAAATTGTAAAAAATTATATAACTTTTTGTTATGGTAATCTTGCGATTTGTAAAGCTGTTTATAAACATTGAACAAAGATATTTCAGTGTTTTAATATTTCAGTGTTTTAGTATTCTAAATTTTTAGAACTTTAATATGCTTTTGAACATTGAAACGAGTATGGCCTTTTATCGTTACGTATCTGTTATCAAATCAAAACATTTAACGTTAATTATTGTGAATCAAATTAGTCGATCTTGATTTGCAGCATGTGACTGATGTTTTTCTTGCTAGGGGTAGATCGACAATATATACCGATTTTATGGTACCATAAAGTTTTTCTGCTTAATTTAACGTTGTTTTTTTTTCTTGCGAAAGTTACAAAGTAAAAAATGAATAGATATTATGAAAATAACGGGAATGATTATGGAAATGGTAAATTTATAAAGTTACTTTGTAATATTCACAAATGATAAATTTCTACATGAACGAATTTTGAGAGATATAGATAATCAGTTGATTTTTTTATAACGTATTAATTAGTCAAAAACGTCACATGAAAGATAAAACTTTATAATTTTCTATGCATATATTTTCAATGACATTTCATTAACATCTTTGATAATTTTCAAGATCCATCAGATAGATCTCGCAACCAATTAATCTCCACATCAAATGATGATCTCATTCGTATCGATATCGAAAGTATAACATTCCTTCCTCAAAAAACTCAACTCTTCTCCGGAACCATCACAGATGAAACATTATTTGCTGACGTAACCACAAGTGTCGAATGTACAAATTTAGAATTATGTGTTAAACTTGGTCAAGAAGGTGTTTCTATAATTTTAGACCGTTACTTAGAAGATATTGAATCATCTGTGGATGATCTTATAAGTGTACTCGATAGTGATGAAACGGATAATATAGATGAGAAAGATTTAAAAGTTAAAGAAATCATTTTTATAGAAATTAATCAAGTAGTTGGGTTCAAAATAGAAAGTCGTAATATTTATTTTGAGTTTGATAAAGGAATTATAAGAGAGGTAAATAAATATTTTTTTAATAAAGTTTATTATATTTACAGTAAATGTTCTTCACGTGCAACATTTTATCAATATCATTGATATATTTATTATCATTTTATCAATATCATTGATATATTTATTATCATTTTATCAATATCATTGATATATTTATTATCATTTTATCAATA